CGCAGACACATTCTGACAGCACTTCAGACAGCAGCTTTGTGCCCCGCCAGCTTCTTGTTCCATGCCTACCATGGTGTTTTTGTACAGACAGCACTTCAGACAGCAAGTATGCTGTAGTCGGCAATCATTCGTTTTGGTACAGAGTGGGACAGGTAGGGGGTGATGTTGCTGTAGTCGAACGGTGAGACGGACGTGTAGTTCAGTTTTGGGCACGCGTACGGTGCTGCAGGAATTATATAGTCTATAGGTGTAGTAGTACCTCTTCGGGCTCTTGGATACCTTTTTCTTGCTACGTGTGCGTGTTCTTTAGATCCTCAGATGGCTCTAGCACTTTCGTGACCACGGGCTAAGAGTCTTTGCTAGATTTTGGCATTTAGCAACTGACATACGGTTTAATGTGAAGTCAACAACAACAACAACAACTGTGTAACTGCCTCGAGGGTGCTTGACCATTTTAACACAACGTGGTGCGATCATCCCCCTTGCGCAGAGTGAGGGTTCACCCCGCACAACATGATCTACTCGACCACCATTATGGTTACCGCAAAAAAAAACCCGGGGGTGTCCAAAAATCGAACAATGTACTGGCCTGTTGCGAAACTACTAGTTTGCCCAAGCCACCAAAGTCCATCCAAAGTTTTGCACCAAATGTGGGCTCCGACAGGTAGAATGGGAACAGAGAAGCGAGCCAACCAAACATCACGCGAGACCAACTCTTACCCGGGAGCAATGAAACGTTCGGCCTGATTCCGAGCAAGTTCTCGGTCGGCGGAAGCTACCCGAGCATTACGATAAGCTCGGTTCCCTTGTACGCGCTGACTAGCGTTACCAGACCAGTAAAGCAAGATGTATTTTCTGTATTCCTGCAAGTCGGACTCCCTTTCCCACGACGGGGTCAACAAACCCATCCAATGAGTCAGGTACAAAACGGCTACCACACGATCTCGTCCACGTACAATTTGGTGTCCCGAAATATTCTCAACATCTAGACGACTAGACCCCGCTACAATATCATCAGTAGTCAAATTATACGGGGGAGACTTGCTACTATACGAGTGCAAAACATATTTCGACAGATTGGCCGGCATATGCGTGGGCAGGTCGTCCGTGTCGTATGGGTTGGTACACGGTTTACACCGCAAAACTGAGACACGGCGGCGAGATTCTGGTCCCAGCATGTCCAGTGGCAGGTCCAGGTAGAGAAGTGTGCGCTGCACAGGTTTCCCATCCGGTGAATCCTCCGCTTTGGCTGGGCCAACAGCAAGGATCTTACAGGGTCCGGTATATTTGAGCGAAAGCTTCGCTTTGAGCACCAGATCATCGGTGTGTTTCCGCACACGCTGCCGAATAGTAGCGGTGGAGTTGTAGACCCAAACCCAACCACCAACGTCATATTTCGGTATGTGACGCAAACCGTCCACCAGTGCAGAGTTCCGGCGTTCGACATGCGACACCGTAATCGCATGTTGTTCCCGCACCAAAGCGTAGGCTATTCTCTGGTATTCCACCGCAAGGATGCAGAAAGCGAGCTGGTCTCGATCCAAACTTTGATGGCCACCCACGCTAGGGTGGTCCAAACCAGAAAACGGGAGACGGGGCAACCGTCCAATATGCACTTCATTCGGCGCCAAGCCTGTGGCGGTGTTTACCGAGTTGTCGTATGCAAACTCTACATGGGGAAGATGGGCGTCCCAATCGTCCTGACGCACATTGACCACAACAGCGAGCATTTGAGCCATGGTGTGGTTAACACGCTCCGCCCCACCGTTAGTTTGGGGGTGGTACGAACTGGTGGTGACTTTCCCGATGTTCATCAGCTCGTAAATAGCCATGGACAGCTTGGAACAAAATTGCATGCCGTTATCCGAAAGAAGAGTCACCGGACAACCCCACAACGTCATGTAGCGGTTGACGAAAATGTTGGCCGTTCCCTTAGCGGTAAATTCCGCCTTGGTAGTGGCATACATATCCGCCCGTCGACTGAAACGGTCTGTAAACAAAAGTATATATGCATTCCCACGGGACGTGACCGGCAATGGCCCAAACAAATCGACGCTCACTACAATACCCGACTCATTCGGGAGGGGCAGAGTGAGCGTAGGCCAGCGATACTTTTGCCGGGAAGTCTTGCGTGCTTGGCAAACTAAACAAGGCCGAAGCCACCAACGAACGGACAAGTCCATCCCAATCCACCAGAAGAATCGCTCCAACATACGTCAAGTCCGAGCGGTACCCAGGTGAAAAGACGCGGTGGCGTGGCATGCTCGTAGGACCCAAGGTCGCAACAGCATAGGCACGTATATGCGTGGAGTCTTCGAAGGCGGGAGGCGCGTGATACGCCCGCCCGAACTACCGACAGGCAGTGGGGCAGAATCTCGTACCAACAATCGCGTACCATCGTCTGTAGTGTACAGGCATGTTTTAGATGCGAGGGCGACAACATCAGACAACGCCGGTCGTCGCGCACAGAACAAGCTATCTCAGAATGTATCCGGCAATACCAGCGGGAACCCCAGAGATAAAAAAATGTATAGCCGCTTCACACTCACTTTCCGACATCTGTTCGCGGGCCCAGTCGGCATGCGAGAATGTATGCACACAATCGCGGAGATGAACTTCCTCAGCGGCCGTGGGCGGTACCACCGAAGCCTCAGGGTTAGCACCCGCGGGCGACAACACTGTCTGTGTGGGCGCCGCGGGCGGTAGCGGTGGCACCGGGGTATCGGCAGCACGCGGGGGCGGCGGCGGCGGCGGCAGCCCAGCCGGCGCCGAAAAAGGCGGCGGACCAGAGGTAGGGTTACCGACGGCTCTCGTAGATTTCGCGGCACCGCTCCACTGGGCCGGCGTTCGAGAAGGCCGCGGCGTCCTGGGCACCACAACGGCCCGTGGTTGTTTTTGAAAATAATTGGGACGGCTGTGAGCCATGCCAGAGGCCGAATTCGTTTTCGCCCGAGTACGAGAAGAAATCAGAGGGCCACGCGAAAGCGACAAGGCAGCCAACGAGGTTCCGACGGTGAATGAGGGAGCGGCGTCTGGCTCCGCAGTAACGGAAGCCGGAGGAGGTCCATCGGGCACAGAACTCACGGGGACTGTATCGCAAACAACAGCGAAAACACCAGGAAGCGTAAAAATCGACGAGTCAACTACGGAGGAGGGCGACGGAGCCCGCAGGACCATTTGTGGCCCAAAGCGGCGGAAGTCCCCAAAGTCATCCTCCGTCAAAGGCGCGTGTACCAACGCGTCTCGTTGATCGTCAATGTCAAGCCCACCTAAGCCGATGTTCGGCGTCGAACTAGAGTGATAACTCCGTCCGCACGCACGAATGAGATAAACGCCCGCGACGTCATCGACTGCGATACTGGTGTTGTCACCGTGTCTATCCGTTTCGGTTGCCAGCAAGGGCAACCGGGAAAGAAAATCCGCATTGGCGTTGGCAGTGCCATTGCGGTAGACAAGGGTGTAATTGGACGAGAAAAGAAATTCGAGCCAACGTTGAACGCGGGCGTTGTGTTCACCCACCTTGACGATGCTCTCCAAAGCTTTGTGGTCCGAATAAATAAGAAAGTGCGTAGGCCAAAAGTAGCCGCGCAAGCGTTTGATTGCCCACACGATACTTCCAGCCTCCAAGTCGAGCACGGTCCAATTGCGCTCGGATTCGAGCGTAGCGCGGCTAACGAACAGAATGGGGCGAACGGAACCATCGGCCTGTGCTTGTTCAAGAGCCGCGCCAAAACCATCCACACAGGCGTCACAGCAAAGCCAGAGAGAGCGGCTTCCATCCGCGACAGCGTCCCAATCCGGGAAAGCCAAAACCGGAGGTTCGGACAGTTTCGCCAAGAGTTCTTCGACAGTGTCCGCCATAGCCGGCGTATAACAAAACTTCGCGTCCTTACGCAAAAGGTCGGTGAGTGGTTTCACGCGCACGGCCAAACCCTTGATGAATTTGCGGTAATACGAAAGCCCAGCCAGCAAAAAACGCAGCTGCTTGACGTTATTAGGCAGCGGCATTTTTATGAGGGCTTCGACCTTATCGGCACGAGGACTAACACCCGCAGGGGAGATGGTGTGGCCTAAATATACAGCCTCCTTAGCGCCGACGCGACTCTTGAGAGGAGAAAGCTTTAGGTTGTACTTGCCCAAACGCCCCAAAAATAACCGTGTGTTGGCGACATGATGGACGGGGTCGGCGTCAAACACAATCACATCGTCTAGGTACGCAAGCACATGGTCCGGACCTTTAACCACTTCGTTGATGACCATAGTGAACCATGACGGTGCAACGGAGCTTCCCTGAGGCATACGGAGCCACTCGAAAAGTTGTGTGGGCGTGCAAAACGCCGTAAGCTGAACCGTGTCCTCCTCGACTGTGATCTGGTGGAAAGCGGAGTTTAGATCAAAAATGGAAAACACTTTGCCCTTGTGCAGGGAATCGATGATGTGGTCAACACGCGGCTGCGGTTGTTGGCCAAGGCTGCACAATTTTTTTAGAGTTTTGTAGTTCACGGTCAAACGCAGATTGCCGTCCTTCTTGGGCATGACAACCAGAGGGCTCGCCCACGGCGATTGCGATTGCTGGATAAGACCGACAGCAAGGTATTGATCGAGAATTGCATCGACCTTCTTCTCCACCAGAGGGTTGAGCCTACTTGTAGGGACGCGAGGCCAACGGTTTTGCGTCCGCGGGCACGTCCAAACGAAACGCTTTCACGGAACAGCAACCGAAATCGGACGGTGACCGCGAAAACACATCCGAAAAGTCACACAGCACATCCGCCAGGCTGTTGATGACTTCCGGGGTCCAACCCGAGTCGTGTAAGTCAAAAGTGACATCGTGCAAATGTGCAGGCAAACGTTGCCACAACTCGCGAAACTCACTCGCTGCGCGTCCGAGAGGCGTTCCAACAGTTCCGGTGGCGGCGGTTTCGGCGGCAGTGGGGCCGCGGGAGAGGTAGAGATCTTCGGATCCGCAACCGGGACGTTCGAATGCAAAGAATTCACGCGAGACGGCGGCCCATTTTCGGAACGGGTCGGCGGCGTAGGGTCACTCGACCCAACACCCTCGGCCGTCTGTGGTGTGGGATCAATCGACGCGAGCGGAATCTGCACAAATGGGGTAGTCGCCACTCCAAGCACGTCACCGGGCTCCAACTCGGCGCACCCTGTCAACGGGATGTGTTGAGGCCCGTCCGAAACAAACGCGTCCGACGCCGAAAGGGCGCCGTGTGTCGGTAAAAACGTGACAAGATAGTTGCCGGTGAGAGCATGAGTTGCCGGAATTGCGAACGAGGTTCACCCTCGTCAACGTGGCTTTATCGGAAAGGGAGACACCTTTCCTGCCGGCGTACCGCAGGAAGTAAGATGCCCCGGGGGCGGAGGGTCCTGCCGGCGACGCCACAATGTTATGGAGGAACAAAAAAATAAAAGGGAGAGGGAGCAAGTTCGTTGCTCCTGGCTTCGGGTACTCACAGTTGTTGTTTGATCTCTTCTTTTAGTCTTCTTAGACCAGGTCTGCTCAGCGCCCACTCGGAGAGTGAGGGAGCGGGGCTGGGATTTTGATCTTCCTTCAAGCTATTTCAATACCCCTCGACGACGCCAACTATCCATATCAAGAAAACTCAAGATATCCAATAAACGCTCATGCAACGTTCATGAAACGCTCGTACAATGCTCACACACTAGTTGCTCCATTACAGTCTCCCGTCGGCAATGTGGCCTATGCATGCCTCCCCCGTCGGTTGAGCCCCTTTCGTTGCGCCCGTGTCCAACACGCGCCAACAGGAACTCCGGCCAGAGAAAAAAGATAGAAGCAAGTTAACGGACGCTCCAACCATGCCAAACAGCTTGACGAGTGCGCAACATTGGGCACCGCGGCTTGCAACTGACTCTCGAACGTGTGTTCGTACCAACTTTCGCTATCCTAATGCCATCCTCATGTTTGGTTGGTTCAGCAAACCCCGCCCATGCCAACGCAGCTCAGTTGCCAACGAAAACATCAACGGCCACTCGAACGACACCCACAAACACCTGCTGGCGACGCAGGCAACACTCGACACCATCCATCCCCCATGTTCTGCACGCATTATTTCGGTGGAGGACAGCACACGGGCTGCGGTAGAGACGCATGCCGAAAACTCTTCAATGCACCACCGCTGGTTCCCGTTCTTCTTGGACAGCAGAGCATCGGAATTCTCAACCTACCCACCCACCCCACACTCCTCATCCGGTTTCTCCCTATCGCAACATCCTTGCGCCAAGTTCGGGCTCATCGATTGCCTGCCTGCAGAGCGGACACAAAACACGTTCAGGTCAACAAGGCGTACGATTTGAAAGGGTGGTGATGGTCAGCGGCAACGGCAGATATGGAAATATATTTCCTCGAAAAACCGTAGAACGATAGAAATACTACAATGCCGGTAGAAAAACAGGCGTTTGGAGTGATGGTACCACAGCAGTTGAGGCAACTTCACGCGCCATCTGAACGAACATCACCCGCCTACTACCGCCAGAACCGGGGTACACGCCATACAAGTACGGCATACAAAAACCAAGGGGCGCCGTACTGATGAGATCACCAAACATCGGACGGAGGGAAGTCGGACTCCCGCAAAAACATATATATGAAGTCAAGATGAAATGCGGACGTGAAACCTTTCGGGATGCCTTGTTTCAATATTTTTGTTACTGAGCCGACGAACCTTCGCTCCTGGCCTTTACAGTTACTTGACACGAAGCGACTGCTGTCAAGAAAAACAAGTAGGAGGTTGACGGTCCTCTGCGCAAAACCAAAACTGAAGTACGCTGATAGCAGCAGCAGCAGCAGCAGCAGCAGCTTTTGCAGCGAGCGGCGGTTGTAGTCAGGCGGTTCCGGCTGCTGCTTGCTGTTCGGGAATGAGGCTCTGTACGATTTCCCGCTGGTGGTGTGCATGTGCTGGGGACGTGCTACGAAGGTACTACATGACACCTTCAAATCGGCTCCCTTTCTGTGTAAGGTCGGCCTCTAGCGTGAATAACCACCCTACTCGTCCTCACGACACACCCTCTTCGCAACGTGAATATTCAGCATGCCATTTTGTCACCTCGGGGCTACCGCTAATTTGCAGCTCCGCCTAGCATATCTAAGGGTAGACAACGCGGGCCAGCGCAGGGATAAGCCGACTGGTTGTTGCTGAAACTGTCACGACGGTAAGTAGTCAAGTGCTTGCGAAGTCCTGACCGACACCGAGGAGCATCAAACAAAACACAGAAATTGATGGAAACTCATTTGTGATCTTCTCGGGACCCCGATGAACAGCAACTCAACGTCCCAACACCAGAGAAACGGTGGCCAAAGGCCAAGCACAACGGTTGTCAAACACACCTGCCATGCTGGTGGAATTCATGATGCTACAACCACCAATCGGTGGAGGACAGCACACGGGCTGCGGTAGAGACGCATGCCGAAAACTCTTCAATGCACCACCGCTGGTTCCCGTTCTTCTTGGACAGCAGAGCATCGGAATTCTCAACCTACCCACCCACCCCACACTCCTCATCCGGTTTCTCCCTATCGCAACATCCTTGCGCCAAGTTCGGGCTCATCGATTGCCTGCCTGCAGAGCGGACACAAAACACGTTCAGGTCAACAAGGCGTACGATTTGAAAGGGTGGTGATGGTCAGCGGCAACGG